CAGATAGCCCTTTGTGTAGCTTTGTGCTTAACTTCAAACAAACAAACAAACAATGTTTTCTTGTTTAATTTGTATATCCTTATAGAGTAATTAGTACTGGTATTAAGTTTGTTCGAGCCAATGACCAAAACCTTAAATTCTGAACACTCATTATACCCAAACTGTAACTCCACTAATTTCACTAATTATCAATTGGCTAATAATTGTGTAAAGATGCTTTAATTCCCCAATCATAACGCTAAGTAAGGCATTTTAGCATAAATTAAAAACTCATTAAACATCTTAAATGAAAGTGTAATACAGGTTTGATAATTTTGAAGATGATAAAAATCAATAATATTTCTTGACTGTTTTACCTCCATTTATTTATCTTTTGTGGGTGTGTCCATTTACCAGTCATTTATTTTTGTTTCTTGATAGGAGTGATCCGCTTAATTAGCGGAAGCATCCAGTTAGACAAAGACAAATACGAGTTGAACGTTACTGCTCAAGATGACGGTTCGTGTTGCAAGGATGGTAGCTTAACACCCCACACAAGTACAGCTCTAGTTGTTGTCTTCATTACTGACGTTAATGACAACAAGCCTACGTTTGAAGAATGCGACACCTACTCGCCAACAGTGAAAGAAGGAGCAGCTAGTGGCACTACCGTTATTACAGTATACATATTTCAAATCTTCTTTGCTTAGTTCTAGTTAGAAATAAAATCGATTGATGGTTTTTAGAACTAGCAAATGCATCTATTGTATGTAAAAGTTTCATGTGTAGCAAAGGAAACTACAAAAATATTTATCATACGTTATTTGAAGACAAGTCAGTGCAAAATTTAAGGGTTAATACATCTGTGCGTAGCGCAAAACTTGAGGTTAATGTGAGGAACATCTAGAGATTAGTAAGAGCACTTAAATAGGTTATCTATAGCAACGAGGAAATACTTTATAACAGGACATTAACAGGAGAGTAGATAAATTATGAAAGGGATCTGGCGGTATATATGCGTACCTGGGGATGAACGTATATATGCGTACCTGGGGATGAACGATAAGAAGGATAAATTTTATACCGTCAAAGCGTGGATCTAAAGTAATTGAATCAGACTGGGTACAATTTGACAAAAGGAACAGATGACCTTCAGATGAAAAAAGACCAAATGAATTACGGTAACTTGCGCCACAACTCTAAGTGAATCACACCCATAATACTAATACGATAGTTATAGAGAAGATAGTTCAACTCGTCAACTGAAATTCCAAAGTAATTAAATAGGCGTAAGTGGACTTTTGATAATAATAAGAGAACTATATATAAATAGTGTTTATGATATGCCTGTAATCTCTATAGCGTGAAAACTTTGTTGTACGTGCGTTAACTTGTTCTGAATATATCTATATCTATATATATATATATATTATTTGAAAACACGTAAAGTGTGTGCTGTTTATTCATCGTTGAATTTATCGCTAACAAGTCACAGACACTTACTGTAGAAGAATCCTAAGCCCAACAACAATATAGTATATATTTATACTATTAAGAAATATAAGTAAAAGCCATTTATTTCGACAACTGGCAAAAAAAGAAGAACTTGTGTATATATAGATTATTTTTTTAAATCTAACAAACAACAACGTTAAACTCAGAAAACCCATGATGGTGGTTAATAAATCCACTGTATCACTTTCTAAATACTTATATCTTACATCATATGAATTTTAACATAAGATTATGTTTTATTACAAGCCAAATAATTTTCAACGTGATCTTAAACTTTGTAATCAACCTTTTAATATTTTTTTCACTTTATCATATTGTCTTTTATCGATGCAAAGTACCATATTATAATGTATTAAATCACCGTTTGAAGTGAAGCTCTGGTAGTGTATGTTTTTTTATACTGTTAGTTTCATTCTAACATATTAATCGTTAGGCCTATATCAGTATTAAACCACATTTTTGAGCACAAACTGTTCGTTCTCGAGTTAGGTTTACCTTGATCTTGCTAATACGTGTACAATGTTTTACGGACCACCCGTAGAGAGTCTTTCTTTGCTAAAACTTGTTTTATTATAAATGGTTCCTCTGTTGTTACTGTGTAACTGTTACCACTATTCTGGTTTTTATCCAAGGTTAAAGCCTCTGACAAAGACAAAGGGCATAATGGATTAGTTCGATACAGCATAGTGAAACAACCCAATCAGAAAGGAACGAAGTTTCTAGTGGATGAAGTTTCTGGAGTTGTAAAGACAAACAAGGTTAGTTTTGTAGTGCCATCCAGAAATGCACATGCCAATTTAAGTGAACTGGCAGAATGAAAACTTTCGTGAATAAGTAGAGTCAGTAGTGTAGATAATTTTGTCTTGAATTTAATCATTAATGAAGTACGTCATTGGCGCTCAAAAACTAGTAGAATAATGATGTGCCTTTTGTTATAATCATGGGAAGTTAGATATTCTTTTTTAATTGGTGTTATTTTTAATATATATAGCGATATTTAATATTTAAACGGAAGATGCGGAACAAAAAATCATCATTTTTCAACGGGTTCCGGTCCACTAATGTATTAGAATATATATACTGTTTATTATAAAAAGTAAAAAACACAACGTTTAAAAATACACAATAAAACTTTACATGTGAATTATCTAGTTTGCTGAAGAATAAATGATAATTAATTGTGACGGTGTGTCACATGTTATCCAAAACTTAAAGTATTTTAGGTTTTAGTGGTGAGTAAAGGACTATACATCAAAATCATACAAAACTTCATTTGGCCGTCAGCCAACTTTAAAAGGGACTCTACATGTTTCACTAAGTTTTCGCAACCATCATTGGGTGTGACACATACCAGACAATAGGAGCTTTATACGCATATGGTTTAACTCATTATAAACTTTAAGGGATGGTACGAATTTCATTTTATATGGGAAGTTAATATTAATACCTGACAATTCATCATCATTATTCAACAATAGTTTTACTTTATGTTTTACTGTCTTGATTGAGTTTTTCATATACAGAGTGGTCCAAAATTGAGTTGTCCAGACATATAAAATTTTTCTGTATGGATAAAAATTTGCTTTGCATCATCACATTGTTGGTTTTTTCGTTGTTAATGTTGTATGCACCATTTGTCCTGTAACAGTGCGTTAATCTGAAACAGAGTGCCCGGCATGGCCAGGTGGATAAGGCGCTCGACTCA